TTTTTGTATTTTTAGTAGAGAGAGGGTTTCACCAGGTTGACCAGACTAATCTGGAACTCCTGACCTCAGGTGATCTGCCCGCCTTAGCCTCCCAAAGTGGTGGGATTACAGGCGTGAGCTACCATGTCCAGCTGATTATAGGCTTTTATGGGGACGGTGGTGGCATAAGAGAGAAAATTCAGAGATTTCTTAGTCAGACAAAACCAGTGAGTCTCAAACTTGGTCTCAAACCAACAGTATCACCTGGAAACTTGTTAGAATGCAAATTATTGGGCCTTGGTTCAGACTTAACAATCAAAGCGTGGGGTGTGGCCTAGCAGTCTTGGTTTAACAAGCCCTCCAGGTGCTTCCAATGCAAGCTAAAGTCTGAGTACCACAGTCTAAAGGAATTCACACCATTACCGGTAGTAGGAAGGAAAAAGAGTCAAACTATAGGCAGCTTACAAAGCTCTGCAAGAGCCATTTCTATTTATTCAGCAAGTCGAGCTTGGATTTACGGCTTTTCATGGCACTTCTGTTGCTGGGCAGTTGCTTCCTGGTGGAGTCACTTATCACTCTAATCATTAGGCTTCCTCCCCAAGAAATATCCTTCACAATAAAGGCTATTCTAGTGAGTTTACTCCCTTTACCTCTAGTTTCTTTAAAACATGGGATGCTGATGGGTGGGGTTGAGGATAGAGCAGAGGTGGAAAAGGAATATCAATGAAGGTACAGCAGCAAGCGGGTGTGGAGATGATGAGAGAAGGATGAGCTAATTACCTTACAGATCTTGTACCATCTAAGGAAACCCTAAGGACAAAAAGTTTATTTTATATTTCAATACAAAAGAATCCCTCCTTCAGAATTCCGCTTTGTGTTTGATGGGCTGGTTATAAATACTTCTTAGCATTAAACATTCAACAAATGGTAAGGCAAAGCTAACAAACATGGTCTTCCAAATGCAACTAAAAATAAAGCGTGTCTCATGATTTGGTTTGAGGGTTAATGGTAAAGAACTATTTTTTCTGGTAAGTTAACATTTATACATTACATGTTCCAAAACCCAAAACATGGCTGGTTAATCTTTTTTGGTTTAATTTATTTAATTTATGCATTGGCTTACATTTAGAAGCTTGTCTATACTTAGTATTTCCTACTACTCACAAAATGACACAACTTTCCAGTTTTACAACCCGGGGATGATTCAGGAATCACATTTAGATATAACATTTTTTTAAAAACATTCTCAGAAGTCATTTTTAAGGAATTCATGGAAAGCAAAAAATGCTTAAAATCCTTTATATTCAGATTAGAAAATATAAATAGTAGACTGGTACACGTAAGTAATTTGCTTATCTTTAGAGTATCGTCTAGGTTGAGAGTCTCAAAACCTCATTTAATATAACTGATTACATGGCAGTATCCCGGATTACTGAAATCTTTGGTCTTCAAATGAGAATTACAGACTAGTTTAATTGCTGCTAAACCATTTATCTTATAATTTAAAATAATTATATTTTATTAATGAAAAAATATAATTTAAATTATAAAATAGCTTGCTAAAGAAACTATCTGGGTTATCAAAAATTAGGTATAATTTTTTGAAACAAAAAATATTTATAAAATATCAAAATGCCCCCACAAGATTTATGTCAATATCAATTTAAAGACACACCCCATAAAAGTGAACATTTCCATGTAAAATGGCCTTATGAATACTGATTTTTAAAACAAAAGCATTATATCCCCTAGGCTGATATATCTGTAACTACCAATTTTAATTGTGATATTTCAAAAATGTAATCAAAAAAATAAACTCTGTTAAGATCTGTTAACTCACCATTTAAGGGCAGTATTTTCCCTAAGAGTGTTCTGAGAAACAGGAGCTCCATTGGATGGAACTAGAGAGACTGATTTCATTAGACAGACAGACTTCCGTGGTCTAGTGACATATTTGAGACACACTGAGTTTTAACAAAACAAGGCAAACCCTGCACTTAATTGCAGTACTTCTCAGTCTTTGCTATGCTAAGGTACAATACGAACCTTTAAGAGATGGCACAGAAAATAGTTTCCCAAACATATTTGGCACTATTTATCCTGAGAAATCTCTTAGAACTAATGATCCACATTAGTGGGAAATGCAGATGAGTTAATCCTAATAAACACTGGAGGCAACTAGCAAATTATGGTCCCAGAGACTCAAAATAGAAATTAAAAGCAGCTGAGTAGAGTACAATGAATTTATTGTCCCTATTTGCAAGAATGCATGAAGTATTTCCACTACATACATAATATTTGTACTACATACATTTTAATATAGCACTTACGAGAATTTTTAAATTAAAAATTAACTGGTTTTTAAGTAACTATACTTCAAGAACACTACTCCCTCTATGAAATCCCATTCCCCAGAAACAGGCCCATCTGATTAGTACAACTGATCTGCCAGCTGGATGGATCCCAAGTAAATTTCAAACCAGCACTTGGCAAAATATCCCTGTACCCAGCATTTTACATGCAACACAAATTAAAGATGCATTCTGGGACTGCCCTGAGAACCAAACAATTGTATGGCAACACGAACATATTCAGTTTATCCTCTCTACATTAAATTTGCTAGATGACCAGTTTAAACAATACTTCAAATGCTGTGCTTGAATTCTGCTTACATCCATTCTGTTATTAGTCTGTTGGCATCTAACACTGGATCGGAAAAGACTGCCATCTGGTAGTTATAGCAACCCTTCACTAACTTGGTCAGAAGTTGAAGACCATAAGCCTCAAAGAAATGCAAACCAAGTTTATTATTATGAACATATCAAAATCTTCTTTTTGTAAAGCCATTCAACAGGGTTTTTCACTCAAAAACACTGTGCTCTCACACATTATATAATCGACCTACAAAAGTCAGGTTTTAAAGGCGTTAAAGGGATGAATGATTAAATTAAATAAGTAATTAGGTCCACATTCCCCTCACCCACAAGGCTGCCACTGTCTCTTTTATAAAGCCTAGGATGAGAGCCAAATTGGCCCTATTTAAATTGGCTATTTAATTTAACTCTAACTTCTCTTAATCATAATGTGTGTGTTCTTGGGTACAAATTTTTTCCTCTCGATAAAGTTTCTGGTAGTCAATACTTCAGATGAAGAGTTAAATAATTAACAGTATAAAAACAATAACAGGCCGGGCACGGTGGCTCACGCCTGTAATCCCAGCACTTTGGGAGGCCAAGGCGGGTGGATCACGAGGTCAAGAGATCGAGACCATCCTGGTCAACATGGTGAAACCCCGTCTCTACTAAAAATACAAAAAATTAGCTGGGCATGGTGGTGCGTGCCTGTAATCCCAGCTACTCAGGAGGCTGAGGCAGGAGAATTGCCTGAACCCAGGAGGCGGAGGTTGCGGTGAGCCGAGATCGCGCCATTGCACTCCAGCCTGGGTAACAAGAGCAAAACTCCGTCTCAAAAAAAAAAAAACAATAACAACATGCATACAGTATATAAGCACGCACAAAATGTTTTCAAACTTAACATCATCTTATTTAATCAGGAAGGAAAGCCAGAGAAATACGTATTAATAGAACAGTGATTATCTCAGATTCTATACAGTTAGGGTAACGGTAGAGCTGAGAAAACTGAATCCATATCACCTAGTTAGAAATGCTCTTTCTAGTATACTATACTTTTTCCTGAAATAGTATTTTACAGTTTACATAGCTATTATAAATATGCATATACATGTATACTTTGCACTTTGAATTTGCCCCAGTATCCCTGCTGCCCACCTCCCTAGTGTGGTTTCCTTCCTATTTTGTTCTTTCTTTTCCTCTACTTATCTTTCCAAAGTCACCACCACTTGCTGAGCCTGAACCAAGGCAGAAGTGGATGAGTGAATGCAGGATCCACCCTTTAAGAGCACTCCAGAGTTTCGATCACATCTATTCTAATTTAGAGACTAGCATGCCAACACATGGAATATTTTCCCGTGCTCTCATTCTTAATGCAAACAATGTCAAGGACATGGCCATTAAGAGATGACCTAGGATTATATAAGACTTATCCAGCTCAATATGCTTATTCTATCCCATTATTTTACTTCAACCCTCTTTGTCTATAAAAAGCCCTTTCCTTACATGGCCAGTCTCAGAAGTCCAAGATTTGATAATACTGGTATTTAGAAAAGGAGACTCTTCTTGTATCTCTTCCTGAAGGCATCTGAAATATTTTTTGTGACTGATTTTCAAGGTGGAAAAGATGCTCTTTCATAGGCTTCAGATGATCTATACTGTTCAACAGGCTGCCAATAACATTAAATCTCTTGGAAGTTGCTAAGAGGGAAAACTTTAAATGTTCTTGCCATAAAAAATAAGTACTGAGGTAATATACATGTCAACTAGATTGATTTATGCATTCTCATAAATCATATTCCAAAACCTTATGTTCCAAATGTACACATTCCAAATCATGTTTCAGACTATACATACATTGTTAGGTAGAAATAGCCCATTCCCCATATCCGGGGCCCACATCCAGCAGGCTGCCTCTGGAGGTTGGTCTGCCCAGCAACAGGACTAGCCAATCGCTTTCCCGTGTCAGCCCGCCAAAACCCGTACACGCCCCGACAGCAGCCCGCCAAAACCTAGCCACAGGGCTCTTCCCTCTTCTTTGTTTAGCCTCCACCAATCATCTCCTCACTTTAGCCCGCCAAAGCTAAGCCAACCCTTGCACACCACGATATTCCCACTCCGCCCATGTCCAACCTCCACCAATCACTCCACGACACCCCACCTACGCGGGCCCCCTCCCTATAAAAACCCTTTCCGGCAGCTGCTGGGTGCAGCTCTTCCCTCTCCCGCTCGAGTTGCCCGCAAACCCCAATAAACCTGGACTCGGCTTAACAACTCCTCGCTCTCATTTGCTTTGGGAAGGGTCTCTGCGGGTTGCACATACATGATTTTCATTTGTCAATTTTTAAAAGTTACTTTAAAAATAAAAAAAGCTGCTGCTCTCTCCTCAAGATGGCCGCTGAAGACAAGTTATTGCTGCCGTGGCTCCCGGAGCTGTTTGAAACCAGCAAACGGCTTCTAGACAAAGTAGAAGGACGGACTGAATCCACTGGTTCCTGGATAGTCCAGAAGGTGTTCAAGGGCCTGGACCTCCTTGAGAAGGCTGCCAAAATGTTAAAGCAGCTCGACTTGTTCAGCCGAAATGAACATATGGAAGAGACTGCTTCCACTGATCTGAAATATGTGTTGGTCCCAGCGTTTCAAGGAGCCTTCACCATGAAACAAGTCAACCCCAGGAAGCATCTAGATCATTTGCAGTGGGCTCAAGAACACTTTATAAACTACTTAACTCAGTGCCATTGCCATCATGTGGCAGAGTCTGAGCTGCCCACAACCAAGGACAACTCAGCTGAAAATCACACTGCTGATTCCTCCAGGGCTTATCCTAGCCTCATTGCTACGGCATCTCAAAGACAGGCTAAAACAGAGAGATACAAGCAGAAGAAGGAGTTGGGGCATAGGTTGCCTACAATGAAATCCGCTGTGGAAACTGGTCAAGCAGATGATGAGCGAGTTCATGACTATTATCTTCTTCACCTTCAGAGGTGGATTGTTATCAGCATAGAAGCAAAACGGCAGGATCACATTCACAGATAACAATATTAACCTTAAATGTAAATGGGCTAAATGCCCCAATCAAAAGACACAGACTGGCAAATTGGATAAAAAGTCAAAACCCCTGGGTATGCTGTAACCAGGAAACCCATCCATATGCAAGGATACACATAGGCTCAAAATAAAGGGATGGAAGAAGATCTACCAAGGAAATGGAGAGCACAAAAAAGCAGGAGTTGCAATCCTAGTCTCTGATAAAATAGACTTTAAACCAACAAAGATCAAAAGAGACAAAGAAGAATATTACATAATGGTAAAAGAATCAATGCAACAAGAGCTAATGATCCTAAATACATACATGCCCAATACAGGAGCACCCAGATACATAAAGCAAGTTCTTAATGACCTACAAAGAGACTTAGACTCCCACACAATAATAGTGGGAGACTTTAACACTCCACTGTCAATATTAGACAAATCAATGAGACAGAAAATTAGCAAGGATATCCAGGACTTGAACTCAGACCTGGAACAAGCAAACCTAATAGACATTTACAGAACTCTCCACCTCAAATCCACAGAATATACATTCTTCTCAGCACCACATCACACCTACTCTAAAACTGACCACATAATTGGAAGTAAATCACTCCTCAGCAGATGCAAAAGAATGGAAATCATAAACAGTCTCTCAGACAACAGTGCAATCAAGTTAGAACTCAGAATTCAGAAACTAACTCAGAACCACACAACTTCGTGGAAACTGAACAACTGGCTCTTGAATGTTGACTGGATAAACAATGAAACGAAGGCAGAAATAAAGATGTCCTTGGAAACCAACAAGAATGAAGACACAACATACCAGAATCTCTGGGACACATTTAAAGCAGTGTCTCTAGGAAAATGTAAAGCAATAAATGCCCATATGAGAAGCAAGGAAAGATCTAAAATCGACACCCTATCTTCAAAATTGAAAGAGATAGAGAAGCAAGATAAAAAAAAAACTCAAAACCTAGCAGAAGACAAGAAATAACTAAGATCAGAGCAGAACTGAAGAAGATAGAGACACAAAAAACCCTTCAAAAAATCAATAAATCCAGGAGCTGGTTTGTTGAAAAGATCAACAAAACAGAATACTAGTCAGATTAATAAAAAAGAAGAGAGAGAATAATCAAACAGATGCAATAAAAAATGATAAAGGGGATATCACAACAGATTCCACAGAAATACAAACCATCATCAGATATTACTAACAAACAATTCTATGCACATAAACCAGTAAACCTGGAAGAAATGGTTAAATTCCTAGACACTTACACCCTCCCAAGCCTAAACCAGGAAGAAGTTAAAACCCTGAATAGACCAACAACAAGGGCAGAAGTTGAGGCAGCAATGAATAGCTTACCAACCAAAAAAAGCCCAGGTCCAGATGGGTTCACAGCAGAATTCTACCAGACATACAAAGAGGAGCTGGTACCAACCACTTCTTCTGAAACTATTCCAAACAATCCAAAAAGAGGGAATCCTCCCCAAATCGTTTTATGAGACCAACATCATCCTGACACCAAAACTGATCAGAGACTCAAAAAGAAAAGAAAACTTCAGGCCAATATCCATGATGAACATAGATGCAAAAATCTTCAATAAAATACTGGCAAACCGATTGCAACAGCACATCAAAAAGCTTATCCATCACTATCGAGTAGGCTTCATCCCAGGGATGCAAGGCTGGTTCAATATATGCAAGTATATAAACATAATTCACCACATAAACAGAGCCAAAGACAAAAACCAAGATTATCTCAATAGATGCAGAGAAGGCCTTTGACAAAATTCAACAGCCCTTTATGCCAAAAACTATCAATAAGCAAGGTATCAACAGAATATATCTCAAAAAATAAAAGCTATCTACGACAAAACCATAGCCAATATCATACTGAATGGGCAAAAACTGGAAGAATTCCCTTTGAAATCTGGCACTAGACAAGGATGCTCTCTCTCACCACTCCTATTCAATATAGTATTGGGAGTTCTAGCCAGAGCAATCAGACAAGAAAAAGAGACAAAGTGTATTCAATTAGGAAAGGAGGAAGTCAAATTGTCTCCATTGGCAGATGACATGATTGTATATTTAGAAGACCCTATAGTGTCAGCCCAAAATCTCCTTAAACTGATAAGCAACTTCGGCAAAGTCTCAGGATACAAAATCAATGTGCAAAAATCAAAAGCATTCCTATACACCAATAACAGACTTAAAGAGAGCCAAATCAAGAATGAACTGCCATTCACAATTGCTACAAAGAGAAAAAAAAAAACCTAGGAATGCAACTAATAAAGGATGTAAAGGACCTCTTCAAGGAGATCTACAAATCACTGCTCAACGAAATAACAGAGGACACAAATAGATGGAGAAACATTCCATGTTCATGGTTAGGAAGAATCAGTATCATGAAAATGGCCATACTGCCCAAAGTAATTTATAGATTCAATGCTCTCCCCTTCAAGCTACCAATGACCTTCTTCACAGAACTGGAAAAAAAAAACACCTTAAACTTCATATGGAACCAAATGAGAGCCCACATGGCCAAGTCATTTCTAAGCAAAAAGAACAAAGCTAGAGACATCATGCTACCTGACTTCAAACTATATTACAAGGCTACAGTCATCAAAACAGCATGGTACTGGTACCAAAACAGAGATATAGACCAATGGAACAGAACAGAGGACTCGGAGGCAACGCCACACATCTACAACATCTGATCTTTGACAAACCTCACAAAAACAAGCAACAGAGAAAGAATTCCCTGTTTAATAAATGGTGTTGGGATAACTGGCTAGCCATGTGCAGAAAGCAGAAACTGGACCCCTTCCAGACACCTTACACTAAAATTAACTCCAGATGGATTGAAGACTTCAACATAAGACCTAACACCATAAAAACCCTAGAAGAAAACCTAGGCAAAACCATTCAGGACATAGGTAGGGGCAAGGAATTCACGACTAAAACACCAAAAGCATTGGCAACAAAAGCCAAAATAGACAAATGGGATCTAATTAAATTCCAGAGCTTCTGCACAGCAAAAGAAACAATCATTAGAGTGAATCACCAACCAACAGAATGGGAAAAAATTTTTGCAATCTACGTATCTGACAAAGGACTTATATCCAAAATCTATAAAGAACTAAAACAGATTTACAAGAAAAAAACAAACTCATTCGAAAGTGGGCAAAGGACATGAACAGACACTTTTCAAAAGAAGACATATATGAAGCCAACAAACATATGAAAAAATGCTCATCATCACTGGTCATCAGAGAAATGCAAATCAAAACCACATTGAGATACCATCTCATGCCAGTTAGAATGGCAATCATTACAGATGCTGGAGAGGATGTGGTGAAATAGAAACACTTTTACACTGTTGGTGGGAGTGTAAATTAGTTCAACCATTGTGGAAGACAGTGTGGCTATTCCTGAAGGACCTAGAAATAGAAATCCATTTGACCCAGCAATCCCATTACTGGGTATATACCCAAAGGATTATAAATCGTTCTATTATAAGGACACATGTACACGTATATTCACTGTAGCACTGTTTACAACAGCAAAGACTTGGAACCAACCAAAATGCCCATCAATGATAGACTGGACAGGGAAAATGTGGCACATATACACCATGGAATACAATGCAGTCATGAAAAATGATGAGTTTGTGTCCTTTTTAGGGACATGGATGAACTTGGAAACCGTCATTCTCAGCAGACTGACACATGATCAGAAAATCAAACACCACATGTTCTCATAGGCAAGTGTTGAACAATAACACATGGCACAGGGAGGGAGCATCACACACTGGGGTCTGTGGAGGGGTCCGGGGAGGGACAGTGGGGGTTAGGGAGTTGGGGAGGGATAACATGAGGAGAAATGCCAGATATAAGTGATGGGAATGGAGGCAGCAAACCACACTGCCATGTATGTACATATGCAACAATCCTGCATGTTCTTTACATGTACCCCAGAACCTAAAATGCAATAAAATATATATTTTTAAAAAGAAAAAAATAAAAAGCAAAAGCTTAAGCCTCTTTATTAACATTTAGGCCACTCACTAGGTAGGTTAGGAGGGTGGTGCATTGAAGTCATCCACCAAGACAAAGGAAAACAGCTTAAGGATCCTAAGTATTGATCAGTCAACACCATTTGACAAGAGACTCCTTTACACAGTATTCCACTTCATGATTAAGGACACACATAGGAAATAAAAACATAATGAGGAGAGTATAATACAGCTGAAAGAACACTGGTTCTAGAACCAGGCTGACTTGGGTTGGAATTCCATTCTGCCAACTACTAGCTGCCAGGGCAAAGTCACAATGTATCTGAATCTGTTTCTTCAAAATTTATAATATAAATCCTGAGGAACTGATGTGAGGAATCATGATTTTGTGTAAAGTACCTAGCACAGTACCTCGTACCTGGCAGGTGCCCAATAGATAATAGCTAAGTTTATTTTATTTTTTATTTTTTGAGATGGAATTTCGCTCTTGTTGCCCAGGCTGGAGTGCAATGGCTCGATCTCAGCTCACTGAAACCACCGCCTCCCAGGTTCAAGAGATTCTCCTGCCCCAGCCTCCCCAGTAGCTGGGATTACAGGCATGCACCACCATGCCTGGCTAATTTTGTATTTTTAGTAGAGAGGAGGTTTCTCCATGTTGGTCAAGGCTGGTCTCTAATTCCCACCTCAGGTTATCTGCCTGCCTCAACCTCCCAAAGTGCTAGGATTACAGGCATGCGCCACCACTCTTGGTCTTATTAATTTATTTTTTATCACCTGTTTTCAAGAAGCTGGTCAGGAGTTAGCAACCATTAGAGCTAGTGGATGGAGCAAGTACTGCAATTTGGTTTTGTTTTTTAAACTTCATCAATGGGAGTTAGAGAAGGAATAGAGGTTGCTTGTAGGCAATAGCTCTCAAAACAGCACAGTAACACAAATTGGCCCAGCCAAGTCAGCTGGAATAG